CACGGCACTCTGTTATAACTCCTGTATTTGTAGCCCCCGGCTATTCACTCTCCCCTCTGACTCTCTGCTTCATCTACTGTAACCTCCTCCCTGCAGACTCGCTGCTACCCCTATGCAGACTCCCGCTGCTACCCCTATGTGCAGACCCTCTGGCTGTCACTGTATGCAGACCCGCTGCCCACCCTCTCTGTGCAGCCCCGCTGCTGACTGCAGCCTCCTCGCTGCTTCGGGTCGGTCACCGCTGGCCAACGGTGCCGATCCTCGCTCCCCCCGTGTTCGTGGCGATCTCGCCACACCCCGCTTCGCCCTTCGTGGCCTTCCTCTGTTCCTGGTTCCCCGTCACTCCCCTTGCTCTTCCGGTTCCCCTCCTTCTATACTCAACCCCTCTGCCCCCCACGTGACCTAACTCCTCCCCCCCTGACGGCACCTCAGAAGGGCCGTTTACAACCGCATTACACAAGCGTTCGTCTTGAAGGTGAAAATCGCGATAGCTGCCATGTCTGCTGCGAGTAGCACGATGTCTGCTCCTTTGTGAAGAGAAGCTGTTACCATCAAAAGTTTATATAAGTTTTGAGAACAAAGGTAGCCAAAGTAGTGTTAATGGGGTATTATAGTATAAAGGTAATAAATAGCGTGGCATGTTAAAGGAAATGGACTTAGCATAAGAAAGGCTCGGTGGAGAGAGAAAGAGAATATGTATTTTAATGAGAGAAGCATGTAACAGTTAATGAAAATTTTTGCAAGTTAATGTCAATCTATGTGTAACAAAGAATAGCATGTTAAAGTTAATGAGACAAGCATGTCAAAGTCAATGAGCGAAGTTAATGAGAATATCATGTTAAAGTCAATGAGAGATGAGCCAGTCGATGCAGTCATGCTGGTGGTTGCTTGTCCATGTGTGACAAAAGCAGCCGTGTTCGCGATCCGAAAGATGGCCGTGCTAATGCGTCAGGCTGCAGAGCATGCTCCTGCTGCGGAGTTCGCTGTTGCCGAGCTCGATGCTACGGAGCTTGCTGCTGCGGAGTTTCGCTGTTGCGGAGCTTGCTGCTGCGGAGCTCACTGCAGCGATGCTGGCTGCTGCGGAGCTGGCTGCTGCACTGCGAGAGGAAGACTAATCAGACCAGGTTGCAGAGCTGGTCGCTGCGCTGGTTAATCACGTCCTTCCAATGTTTGTATATCTGGATAGCTTCATGTACAAATCTTTGAAGGTAACCCGAAGGTTTGCAGAGTACCTTGGTCTCGTAAAAAACAATATAGTGCGAGCCCACAGCATTATAACAATGGTCAGCTACGGCAGAGGTATTGGTTCTGCCGTGTTTCAGATCTGCCTTGTGGTCGCGAACCCGGTCTGAGACATGTCGTTTAGTTTCCCCAATGTAACTGCTACCTCAGGTACAACTCAGTTTGTAGACCCCAGGAATGACATCCTTCACAGATGGGATCAGATCATGGATTTTGTGTACTGTATTGAATCAGACCTGGATCTTGTGTTTGTTTATGATTTTGGCAATATTTTTGGTGACACCTGCTATGTACGGTAAGGTGATGGTTTTGATTGGATCCTCAGAAGGTTTTCTCTTCATGGTTGGGGATACAGCTTTTCGAATTGTGCGGTCCGAGTATCCATTCATCTTGAGGGCTCGGTGTACGTGCTCCAGTTCATTGGCTAGGTGGAGCTGGTCGGAGATGCAGCAGGCCCTATGGTGTAGTTACTGTAGTGTTTTTTTTTAGGGAATTCTTCTGGGCCGGGTGGTGGTGGGAATCAGGCTTCAGATAGGAATCAGTGTGGGTAGCTTTCCTGTAGACAGGCCTCTTCTCAATCAAAACATCCAGAAATGGTAGCTTACCATCCTTCTCCACTGTGGTTGAGAAATTGGTTCAGTGCTGGTTGGCCATGTGGCCAAATGACGAAAGTGTCATCTACACATGTCTTCCACAAGGAAGGACGTAGGGTGGATGTCAGGATGGCATCTGTTTCAAATTTCTCCATGAACACATTAACTACCACTGGTGATAGGGGGGGACCCATGGGAATACCTTCATTTTGTTTGCAGAATGTACCATTCCAGGTGAAGTTAGTGTTGGTAAGGCAGGGCCTCACTAAACTTGGTACATCAGGATTCTGTCCCTGTTGGACCAGGTCTCAATGATTGCTATGGTGTCAGGTACAGGAACCTTGGTGAACAGAGAGACTACGTAAAAACTGACAAGCAAATCAACATCCAGATGATCTATTTCATCTGGATGATGGATGGCGTTCAAGAGACGTTTTCTTACCAACACCGAATTAGGGGGGTGGACGGAGGTGCTGAGAGCGCTTCCCGCCGCATTCGACGACGATGCTTTGGCGGCTAAGGGGCAAAAACTTTCATTGGGGAGAGGAGGCCGCGTTTCGGGCCATTCGTGAAGGGCTGGTGAATGCTCCTCCCCTGCGTTATCCCGATTTTTCATTACCATTTGTCTTTGATACGGATGCTAGTAATACCAGCATTGGAGCCGTGTTGTCGCAAGTTGTTAACGGTGTATAGCACGTGGTCGTGTATGGCAGTAAGGTACTGTCTCTGACCGAGCAGAGGTACTACGTTACGCGCCGTGAGTTGCTGGCCATTGTGGTTTTTGTGCAGCAATATCGCCGCTATTTGCATGGGAGGCACTTCGAGGTGCGGTCCAATCATGCAGCGCTCCAAAATGTGCTACGTGTGGACCAGCCTTCTGGTCAATTCTCATGCTGACTTGAGATCTTGCAGGATTTTTCATTCTGTGTAAGGTATCGTAAAGGCTCTCGCCATACGTACGCCGATGCCTTGTCGCAGCTGACTCTCCCCCCCCCCTTCTCGTTGCATCTGCCGGAACTGCGATGAGTGGGTCAGCCGACGTTTTGGCTGCCCGTGATATGGTCATTTGATTGGACACACAAGATGCGTCCCTATTTAGGCTGCGGCGGCGAGTCAGGGAGGATGCTGGGGATACGGATCGGCATGGCGTTTCCTCGGTTGTCCTACGGGACAGGCTGCTTATGCATTGGGACGGGGGATTACGTCGTTATGCCATTGTCTTTCCCACCGCCCTGCGTGGCGAGGTTGTGCAGGCTGTGCATAGACGCCTGTTGCACCTGGGCATGCAAAAGACAATTGCCACGCTGACATAATTTTCATTGGCCGGCCATGGCAATGGATGTCGAGAATCTGCTAAAAGGTTGTGTGCAGTGTGCGCGACGGAAGCCGCCAGCGAAACCTTGCTGCCCTCCGCTGCAATCCATCAGGTGTCGCGCATAAACGAGCTGGTTGCTTTGGATATTCCCGGCCTGTTTCCCACTTCTGCTCGGGGGAACAGGTGGGCGTCAAGTATTTTTCATGCTGGCCTATGGCCTGGCCGCTCTCAAATCAGTCAACTGTTGCCGTTACCGAGGCGTTCCTGAATGGTTATGTTCTGGACAAGGGTGCTCCCGAGCGCCTCTTGACCGATAAAGGCACACATTTTTCCCCCAAATTGTTGCGTGAAGTCTGTGTCAACCAGCCAGGCGAAAACTGCCAAAATGTTATGAGTTTAACGAAATCTCATTTGAGTTAACAAAAATCCGCCGTATAGCCTCAACATACTGTAGGGACAAATACTGTTGGCAAGAACCGATGAAGGCCAGCAACACACACAAGATGGGTGGCCAGCACCACTCCCGGCCACCTTTGTCTCCCAAGTGGCGATGTTTACACAGCACACCTGGTACTCATTTGAAGCCGAGTCAACCTAGGGGAGGCCTACAACCAGGTTATATACTGTATTCACCACTGGTGTTTGCCGTAAGCGGGACTGGAACTCGGGTGGCCGGGGTCGTAGCGCAGTGTACTTACTGCTGTGCCACCACACACACACACTTTAGATACTTTTTGTACGCGCTTTGAAATACAACACTTAATTATTCAGCAATCTTAAGCCTTTATTTTTCACTTCAGAGAAATTTAAACACCAAATATTTTCCACACTTGGTATATAAGGATGTTTACACCACCGCACGTGTTTATATTCAAATAGGCAGAAAACCAAACTGGTGTTGAAAACAAACCACTATATTTAAATCAAATCACATCAGTCGAGTGAGTGACAATTCCAAAACCCCAATTTTGCTAACAGCAAGGTCCTCTTTTGTGCACTAGATTTTTTACGAAACGGAGACACATTATGAGGCTGCTGAATGTAGCCATTTCAGAAGAATACAACGAAGAAACACCACTCACCTTGTTAGGAGCAGAGTTTAATTCATCACTCGACATTGTCCGGAACATTGCTAGGCTGGCATGGAGTAGCGATTATTGTTGAAAAGCACTACCACTAGAGAACAGACCACGTGATAATCCTCCATTATTGTTCCCTATATTCCGATAAACCTATCAGCCGTTTTATTCAAATTCTGAGGACACATTTAGGCAAAATCCCAGTAAACGTGCCAACGTTGTTTCAACGTTGGTACATAGTTGGAACCGTTAGCCTAACGTTTGCCAAACGTTCCATGTTTTACTGGGGTGGATGTGACGAGCCAACATAATCCCCGATGGTAACGTTCCTTGAATGTTCCGGCTGAAAGCTTGCGCACCTATTATGTTGACGTCCACTGTTATTCTGGAATGTTGTCTTCACCCGACCCCCCAGTAAACATGTAACGTTGAGCCAACGTTGGTCCAAAGGTTTTAATAACGTGCCAACGTTGGCTCAACGTTGCACGTTTATTGAGCTGCTATTTAAAAAAAAACCCAGCTCAGAAGTAATTTATATCAGCCGGGCCCCGCCTCGGCATTAGGAGGCTAAAGTCTATCCACAGGCACAGTCACGCCTTCCGCTGGAGTGAATGTGAATCGCAGTCTGACATGGAACCAGCGTCACGATTTGGTTGAAGAATCGTAAGATACAATCAGCGATGTCTCGCGCACTGGCTCTTCTTTCATATGTACTGTGAAAAAGGGGCATAATCCGAAACGTTACCTACTATAGCCTTTTTTCTTTTTAAGGTGACAATATTACTGACGAATGTGTTGAGTTTTTTGTTCAATGGTGAACAGCTAGCTTCCGTTATCCTGTGCAACTTTGCCGACGGCTCCTTAAACCTATGAATGAACAATTATATTTAAGATAAACTCCAAGAGTAAAAACTCATATGATCAAAATTAACCCCAGCGATTATTAAAGAGAGATAGCACACCATTGCAATAAGGTGCACCAAGCAGCACTACTAGTATCTTTGCATACAATAACTATTGATTTCAGATTTTAATTATGTATTGGAGACATCTCAGTTAAGATCCAACTTTGGCGTGTTGTTAGAATTTTCCAACAACGATCCATGTTTATTGAAATATTGTCCATTTATCCCGTTGTTTGTAATCTCCACAAATATACTAATCATTAATTTGACTGTGTGTGTGTCTGTATAGGGGGCGGTGGTGCAGTAATTAGCGTTGTTCACTACGAGCTCGGTGGCGTGATATCGATTGTCGCCCACGTCCATCAGTGGCGAATATCTGCATTTCGTCAACGCAAACGCAAATTAGCACATGAGTAACAAAGGCTGCGAGAGGCGTGGTGCTGGCCACCCACCCCATCAGTGCTCCTTAACAGTGGTGCTCTCCAACAGCACTTGCCCTTACAGGCTGTCAGGCTATATTGTGGGAACGTTGATACCTATATTCATGATAGCGGCAGGCCAAAATCTAACAAAATTATCGCGCAAAGCTTTATCCTAAAGGAACACACAATCCACAAAAAACACTCCGCCTCCTTCATAGACACAGAGCTTCGTTAATGAGGAGTGAAAAAATGGTACACAATGTATGTTGAACTTATTTCGCGCCTTACGTAGCCAACTGTGCTAATCGATGTGATGGCACCGTAGAGCGCTGTCACTACACTTTTAACAACAGCTTTAATCATAGATGCAGCCCTGGGTCCAGGTGTAACAATGCCCTCTGTAGATACTTTACCCGCTATTGCATGATGTTATACAACACATTTAACATCTTATTACATAGAGGGATAACTAATTAATATTTTGAGTGAGCAAATGAGATTGTTTTAAAGCTTTCGTGACTGCAGGGATTCATATTCTTGGTTCTTTCGGTAAAGTCACGTAGAAGGGAAATAATAAAATAATATAAATGTTATTGTTTTTATTCTTCTTGGTTCTTTCGGTAAAGTCATGTAGAAGGGAAGTAATAAAATAATAAAAAGAAAACAAAAAAATGTTGTGTTTTATTTTTATTTTATTGTGTTTTATTTTTATTATTTTATTACTTCCCTTCTACGTGACTTTACCGAAAGAACCAAGAAGATGAATCCCTGCAGTCACGAAAGCTTTAAATCGAAATTGTTTTTATTGTTTTATATTTATATTATTTTATTATTTCTCTTCTACTTGACTTTACCGAAAGAACCAAGAAAATGAGATTTTATTGCTTATTCATAATTGATTTCGTTTGTAAACCTTTACCACCTTACAAGTAACATTTTGTTTACGTGACTGTATACCGACACGATCTAGCCCAAATAGAATCGTAATAATATTGGTTGTGAAAGCCTATATATGAAATTACATATTATTACTTGCACTTTAAAGAGTTGTGCAGATGTCATGTAACCCCCCAATTAATTAATCCATAACATGTTTTCCTTTGTATATTCATTGTATATTCATTTATATTTTAAATAAACCTTTAAGTTTAAGAGAATTAAATGGCGGTCACACGACATCTGGACAACCCTGTACATATCTTCCAGGACCGGACACTTGAACAGTGTAGAGTAATTCAGGGCTGATTTCTCGAGTTAAACTAACCACTCATTCATGGAACTGGCTAAACATCCCAAAGCAGGACCCTAAAATAAGCGCATTCTTATGCATATTAATGTGTCTATAGAGTAAGTGCTGTAGTATTTTTGAGGGTTGCATCTGCTTTGTGAGAGGGGGTCTGGAGTCTCAGCTCGAACCAGCGAACCACAGTTTTAATAAAAACGCATAGAGCACGGTTTTCCAAACTCCAGTCCGCGTGACTACGTCTCTCGGCGTTTACAAATGTACTCCCCATTCAAATAAAATGAACTCGTTCCACGCCGCACGAGCCCCATGATTGTTAAACACGTTTCACGTGACGAGAGCTAAGCACAGTGCACACACACTGAGATCTCAATATTAATTTGATTGTGCTATATTTACACAGACAGCGTTGATTGATTATCACATCACATTGGACGTGTTTAACAATAATTTGGCCCGTGCAGCATCGAACAATTTCATTTGTATTATACTGGAGGAATCCGGTGAGCTATAAAGCACTTTTTTATCCACAGATGTCCAGTCGGGGTAGGTGATAATGTATTAGGGGCGCGTCAGAACGTAAATGCAGAAAGACAGAGTGTGGTGGGTCGCGAGGACTGGAGTTTGAGAACCTCTCCCTGCAGACATCCAGATCACCAAAATGCACGAAAATTCACCTGAATGATAATAAGCAACGAAAAGCATAACGGTCATCTATGCGGACTCTAATTATACAATGGTCCTCTCGTATTCTCAGTTGTCTTTAAAACACAAAAAACATCCATCCCGTCAGTGCAACATTTCAACAGAGACCCTTTTGTCGCTTTGGGTCAATTTATTAAATCACAATTTGATGTCAGCGGAGATCAACTTCATAATACCTACAAAAGTGGCTGATAATGCCGTTCAGGGCCAGATTCATGAGTGCCAATATCAAGGGGGGAGGACTAAGAGGAAAATGCTTATACCAACCAAGCTATCCGCTGCACCGTCTCACATATCCATAGATTATGAACCACTTGGGACTGCAATTGAAGAGAAAGGGGTTTGACACAATGGATCTCCAGTCTCACAAGCGCAATATTTTTATGCGCCTAACGTTTTATGGCCAAACGTTAGGATTTAGTTGCATTTATATTGGGGAAATTCGATTCAATGCTTTAATTTTGTTTAGTCAGATCATTACATTGTTATTGCTGTCTTTGATGGCATTCATTACAATCTTGCAATAGAATGTGTTAAGTGGAATTATTCAGTAAAACGCAGAGCCAAAGCAACGCAATTATCATTGAGCAAGAAAACCATGCATAGGCAATTCAAAAGACCGCACGGGACGTACACGGTCCGCCCTTTGCATGCAAATCGAGAAACTTACACGGTCCAATTAACAAGATATGCGCAAGAAACATGGATTTAAGTGGCACGTGTGGTTTTTTTGAGTTGCCCATCGCTGTGACACAGAGATTTTCGTACCACACAGCACGTACGCATGTGCTCGCATGCTTGCTCTCTCTCTTGCTTCCTCACGCATTGGCGATGGTTGAAACTTGGCTGAACTGCACGGGAGAGCCTCGTCCATTGGGGCTGCTCCCACCTTTGGTGCGATTGACAGAGGCACACGATTAGTATGTATGTTGAACTTCTTTCACACCGTACGTAGCCAACCATTTTAATTGGAGGTGCGGGGGAGTGACAACAAACTGGCCGGCGGTGAGGTATTACCTGGGGAGATTTACTGGGGTTCTTTTGGTGATTTGTAAAAAAACTTAGGTAAAAAGAGGATGTATATGATGAATTTTCTGCATCACTTCTCATATCAATGAAAAAAATAGATAAAGCATTTTTTAAAATGATTCTAGGGCACAGACAATAGGAAAGAATGGCTAATAGACAGGTCTCACTGAAATGACGCTATTATAAACATAAGATGCAGCAAAGAGTCTGGTGCAAATGAGCGTGCACTTACGGCTCTGGCTTCGTTTCTTGATGAACAGCACAACGCAGGCCACCGCGATGATGGCCACCAGCAGTCCACCCACAATGCCAGCAATGAGACCCACTGCACCCGGTGAGACACAACACACACAGTGCACTGTAGAGCTGGTAGACTGTGAACCACGAAACTTAAGTTGCCATCCTGGCAGTCGCGTATCCATATTTTTTTCTCAACTGCATGTAATTTTGCTACGTGCGATTGCTGAGATTCCCCGCGTCAAAAATCGGCCCAAGTGGAAATACAGCACCAAATGTTATGATAAAAAAATGTTGTAGCTGACGGGAATATTTAACTTTACATATAATTTAACATTTAACCTTTATAATTAACCTATCGTCAGCAACATTTTTTTGCCCTTTTACCCTAAGCTATGTGTGGGAAAGTCTTTGCTCAGAAGTATTCATGGATAACATTTGTCACTCGCGAGTGTCATGCTGACTGTTATTTTGGATGGATAGCTTGACTCCCATTGTCCATAGTTCAGGTTGTTTATTAGCCATGTTTATAAAATGTCCCTGCTTTTGCAAATTCTCCATTTATACGTAACGTGATTGGCACTATCGACCATTGGCCAGGTTGCCATTGAAAACGAGCTTCTTAAGCTCAATGGCCCTTACCCGAATTTGTTTTACTGAACTGGCTGACCTGCCCAACTCTTGTCATAACTCGGTAAATCATGGAAAACACAACTTTGTTAAAGATCAAACTTGAGTTCTCTCTCAACTCGAATTTTGGGATAAATGTGGCCAACTCAAGTCGCTAAAATACAAGGTATTGTTGGCTTGATAAAAATGTGCTGTGGGCATTAATTATATCACATTTTTGGGTTTCTGATCCATGGCACTGGCTCAAAGTAGTCATCTCTTGATAACAATGTCAAACGGTCTGTCACATTGATAATAGGGCAGATGGCACAAGTTGACAATGATGTAAATTCGACCATCAACTATGTAATTATAGGGGTAGAATAATCCCACCCAGTTGTCATAATTCAAGGAGGCACGATTCGATTTTAGTAATAAATTTTAGTTTTTTTGCTTTACATTGCGGTGAATGTTAGTACGTCTAGTGGCCACAAGGCGATATGAACACATTATATGCAACGAAAAAAACCCAAAACTAACTTATGGATAATATTTGTTGCGAAAGCCTACGGGTTAAACGTATATGATTAAGTCAATGGTGAAGTAGGTTTTCAGTTTACGCCTTTTGCCCAACGTCGCGTTTTCCATGGACGTATCCCCAATGTAAATAGAGGACTTGCCATAGTTACTGTCGCTGCTGGCGGAAGGGCCTCCACCAGAAGACGTTCTATAGATCGCCTCTGGAAGTTATGTGTGGCCTACCCTTCCATACTGGCCAGGCATCTTGGAAGAGGCTGGTGTATTTGAACTTTAACCCACCGACTCGCGACCTGCCGATCGACAACCTCTGGTGGATAGAGGCGATGAGGTTTAAGAAACGTTCCCATTGTTTCAACTCCAGCATTGCCGAGATATCGAATTGAACCAACGACCTTTGAACTGCAAGTCCAGTACACTAACCGTTACACCATGGCTGCATGTATTCTTTACTTTAAGCTGGCAAACAATTTCGTGCAATATGGTGTGTAACTCACCGTTAGGCCCGTTCTCCTCTTCTATCAAATTCCGATTCTGCATTCCGCAAGCATCCACTTCCTTGGTGCATTCCATGGTCTCACAGTCTGAGGTCACACACAAAACGTACAAGCAAACAAAACCCCTTAAATGTGCCCAATCTCTTCGGAACTTGGAAGCTGGGCAGATTTGAGCCTAGTTAGGATTTGAATGGGTGTTATAGGCATGGGGGTAGCGAGGTAACTAGGAGATGGCAGTACAAAAATAGATTAAGCTCACATTGCGAAGCGTTGAGTCTTATCACCTCATCTGCGTGGGGTTTCTCCCGTGTCCTCCCACATAAAGACAGACAACCCTTAATAGATTGGCGAAACATCCCAATGCAGGACCCTTGTGAAAGAGAGTCTTGAGACTCAATGAGGCTTTCCTGGATGATTGCAGATAATATTATTAAATGTATATGCTGCCACAATTGTGCCAAACTTTTCAAATACCAAGGTCTCTCAAACAATGTGGGTTTTTATTTTACCTGACTGGCGTCATACCATATTTGCCTGGATTCCTGTCTGGCTGGCGCACGGCTAAGTCCACGTTGCGAACGTGACTGCATCCCATAGCATTGAGCTGAGTTTGTGCATCGCACTGACATCATCCCTCCTACACCCACCCAACCCTCCACCCCGGCCGGCTCTGGGTGCCGCGCAAATGCACGGGATACGCTATCATACTACATTAGACAAAAGACTGGCTGGCTAACTGTAGAGGGAAGGACATGATTAAAGAACGTGTGGACTCCTAGTTTTCTTTAAAAGGGGTACTAATTTTTTGGTTCCTAAAATATTCTCCGCTGGGTCGTGCGGATGAATATGCACAGGTCTGCATGATGCGTCGAGTTTCCGTGAGTGCTACCTCGTAGGACCCCAGCTGTAGCCTCTGTGAGCTGCAAACAGAGGCAGAGTGCATAATCCCCCTGGTTGATACGTGGCCTACTCACAGACTGACAGTAACCAGGCGCTCGCGCACCACGGCTTAACCTGCATGGGCTCTATGAAAAAGCAATTCTGAATGAACACCGGGGCAGATATATCTCGCTTAGCCTGTTGAGTCAAATCTGTCTGGAAGAGGGAAAACTCCGATTGCAAACCCAGGTTGTCTTGCTTGCAAGCAACAGAGATAAGGTGCCTCATAAGTGGTTACCCACGAGGAGGATGAATGGTTGCAGCCCAGTGGACAATGAGACGATGATTATTGATTGTGAAACCGACTTGGATGACACTGGGTCAAACGAGATCCATGTTAGGTGTTGAGGCACCCAGCATTGGGGAGAAGTGGACTCGGGTGGGGAGGGCGGCCTACTGCCGCAGATGACGTTTTCATGACGAAGCAATGGTAGAGTAACCGGTACATTTCAAGATGAACCAAAGACGACAGTGTGACAGTGTTGGATAAGAAATACACACGACACATAAATGCCAAGCACAGAACCATAAATGTCTGGGATTCAGAGATACATGACAATAACTGCGCCTTGGGTTGAACGGAAAAGGCTGAAGACTCGGACACAGGCGATTTCCTAGACAAGCCTAAAACAACATCGGCATGAATGCCCACTTTTCATGGGGAATTTGAATGCAAGGGTAGCAACTGACTACGGTACTGTAGACTAAAGGAGCTCTCCTGCAGCTGCAACGGCTTACAAAAAACAAACATTTCAAGCGTAGGACAGTTTGGAATGCCATTTCCCCTTTAATGTGTCTCATCTACAAAGGTCATAATATCAATAATTCATTGCTAACAATGTCACTTCCTGAAAGGTAGTGTCCTGGTTTCCTGATTCACAGCTATAAATGTGACATTTATAATGGAGACTGGAAGAAAGTGGCTTTGCTATGGAGTGTGCAGGTGGTGCAGCTTCACTGGGTCCCACGTGACAGAGCGACGCAGGCACCGGGCTATGAAGAGGAGGGAATATAAATGTATCGTTAACCGTTCACCACCCGACACAACCAATTAGTAAGGTTTGTCACGTAAACAAAACTAAGCAAATTAGTCACTACTTCGGCACATCGGTGTGATGGCGAGTAAACTCACGACATTTACAATTGAGTGCGATGTTTCACTGGTGATTGCAACCAGCTTCATCAGGCATTGTGAAGAAGTCTTCCTGCTTCTGGTCTTAAATAGACCAGGATGATGTCATCACTGTGAGCCTATCAGGTGCAAAGATCAGAAGGGGGGTTAATTGTAATTATGAAAATTATAATGGATTATGTTTATCTGCAAATATGCAGAACGTATTAATGACACATTTATACTTACACTACCTATCCCAAAAACCTTTATCAATAATATTGGTCGCGAAAGCCTACGTGTTAAATTGAAGAGGAGGGAAGTTCAACATGGGCCTCATTTCATTGCCTGCACCAGGGCCAATGCCAACCACGCTTGTGCTAATGCTAGAAGAGGCTATTCTCATGGTGTCAGGGGACGAGGAGACAAGACTGGAGGGTGCCCCATGGCCATGGGAGCACAGCACGAAGAGGAAGATAAGTGGAGGGGAGGTCCTCCCTGTTCTCACAATGGGGGAAGTCCTTGGCGACGTAGGCACAATGTTCCAACTGAAACTCCCGCAAGGAGGCTGCAGAAAAAAAACAGGGTGGAAGTCAATGACAGAGCACCTATTGTCCACCAACAAAGTTATGGGCATGGCCAGGTAAAGATCGCATTCCAATGGAATGGCTAATGCTAACTATATTGAACATTGGGGCATTATAGTAGGCGTGCATATATACAGGGTGGTCCAAAAGTCAGGAAACATTTATTTTAATATTGGCAATGAACATTTTTATTGTTTATTCCTTAGGTTAATATTTTATCTGTCATTATTATTAAAATCTATTTTTCATATTCCTTTTCAGATGACATTTAAAAATGGTAAGAAGATGGACTGAGGACGAATGAGTTCAATTCGTTTTTATATAAGTTAAATAAGGAAGCTGTAATCTCTTTTAAAAATGTCCCAAATCCATTTAAAAAGAATGAATGCATGCATTAATGTTAATGGAAGTAAGTTTGAACATTTGTTTAAATAAATTAAATAACCTAATGTGATTTTCAAAAACAAATAAAATAACCCTAAGTGTCCTGATGTTTGGGCCACTCTGCAATATATACCGTGTTTTCACAGCCCTTTGTCCATCCACTGCTGGATGGAGGCTTCACCACACCCACCTTCACCAACCGGCCAGTGTCGGTTGGTGAAGGTGGGTGTAGGGAGACCCAGGACAGGTTAAACAGATATCGCTGTCCAATGATGTAAGCCGTGATTCGGACTCATACTCAGGGTCACCAGGTTCTCGATTGAACAATATTCTCAATACAACAGCAAACATCTCCACGCCAAATTGATAGAAAGAGACCAAAAGTATATGCATATTTTTTCACCAAATATTGGTGAAAACTCCTTCACTATCATGAGGTGCCACAGTGGTGAGATGTTAACTTCTTCGCCTGACTTCTTCGCCTGACTTCTTCGCCTGGTATGCAGGAGGTCGTGGGTTCAAACCCGACCCTTACGCCTGTATATTTGGAGTTTGCATATTCCCCCTGTCGACATGTTGATTTTCTCCAGGTTCTCCAATTTTCCCTCACCATTTAAAAACATGCGTTTTGAGTATTTGGCTGTTATATATTTGTACATGATAAGATACTTCGTTGAGTTATAATTTTTTTATCCAGGTCGCTTCTGAAAAAGAGCTATATAGCTCAGTGGGCCTTACCAGGTAAAATAAAAACAAAATTATGATAAAAAATGTGTTCTGCTAATTTTCAATTCAAATAAAATGGCCACATTGGCAGAAAGAGACAAAAACTATATGTAATGTGTATTTGTTGTTCATAAACTGTTAATGAAAACTCCTTTCCTACCATTCATGGATTAGTCCCCAATATTTGCGACAGTGTAAAACGTTCACCTGGGTCTTTAGCATACTGCAGGTGGTACGGTTCAAGGCACTCCTCTGTCTTCTTGTAACATTTATCCAGCGCGCACTCTTTGGACGACAAAACGACGCAACGTGTTACGAGTGGGCGGACGAGATCGACACGACATTGCGATGTGCGCGGAGAATGCGTCCGAGTGCGTTTCGCTGGCATGCTGCTCACCGAGCACTCGGTCAGGAATGCTGCGGAGGTTCAGCTGTTTCTTGGCTGGAACGAAAAGAGAGGTGGGACAGTGATGCAGGTGAGGGCTATTGAATTTATTTTAACACTGCCGTTCAAAACATTTTAATTGTTCATTCTTTAAGTTAATATTGTATTTATTGATTATGAATATTTACTTTTCATCTCCCCTTTTCAGATTACTTAAAAAATGGAAATAAAATGCACTAAAGACAAGGGAGTTCAATTCGTTGTTATTTAGTTACGGATATGCTAAAGAAGGCAGCTGTAATTATAAAAAAAAGTCCTGAATTTATTTCAAAGAATAATTCATGCAGTTTGAACATTTGGTAATATACATGAAATAACCCTGTTCTGATTTGTTAAAATAAATATAATAACCCTATGTGTTATGACTTTTGGGCCATCAAGTATAGATTTTTTTAATTTTACCAAAGTCGGGAAGCACAGGTCCACTAAAGGCCCAAATTGCTGAGCGGTCAGCATTTTGGGTGTGCCTCACATTTTATTTCTCAAACTTCTCTGCCTCTGTAATGTAGGGCACTCTAAATTTGTTTTGATTGAAACTAGTAGAGGACTCATTTCTCTGCAATGGTAAATAATAAACAGCTCTCATGTGCATATTCTTCGCACAATCCTCTACTCGGAGTACTAAGCTGCTTTTTATCTAATAATAAAATGCGAAGATAATGTTTTGAGATTTTTTTCAAATTCTCTAATATTTTAAGAATATTCTGGCAAAATAATGACATTAAAGCACAAATGAAGCCTTAGAGAACATTATTTAACAACTGTGCCAGTATACTGTATGAGTTACTCCCACTTCTTCAGTATCAATTATTGTTATTTAGTCTTCTGAATTTTTTTCTGCAGTTTCAATTCATATCAATGATTATTTGTTCCACGGAAATTCCTGTTTCGTCAAGTACCCAGCTAGTTTCGTTGGCAACGGCTCAAAGCAGCCACTAACAACAGAGTTATTGTTGGGGTAGACAGAACCCAGCCAGCAGCTAGCCAGGAAACTCGAGGCATAGATTATTTTTAATAGTAGTGTGATGGTAATTGGGCCCAGGGATGAATTGCTAAGTGAAATGTGAGTTGTTTTTACAAGGACACATCTATCCACAATGCAATGTCCCAGAAACATTAAATAAATTTACATTTCAATATAAATTATCTGAGTAATACCGACGATTATTGAAGGGTCTTTCTGTTACTCCATCATAACCATTCATATGCCAATTTAGAAACTGGTCAAAATATAATCTCAGGCCCCATGGTGTTAAGTGCAGTCTCTAACCCTTAGTACCTTAGTAACTCTATCCCTGTGGTCTTTCTAACACGTTGCCCATTTTTTATATATATATATATATATATTTATTTTAAAGCCACAGTGTCATTGAAAATTGTGAGGTATTTTTTATCACAGTACTAATCGAAACTAGTTAATACATGTATCTATTGCAACTGTAGTACAACATGATTACTCTTGTAATAAATGCAATTGCAGCAAAAAATCCTTTACATAAGAAAATCACTAAATTGGGGAAGAAGTGGGTAGTAGCGGGGGAGAGGCAGTCAGGGCATTGGGCAGGGATAACATGAGAAAGCGAAAGAGAGAGAACTGAGCATGGAATGAGGCAATCAGGGCCCAGCACCAACATCAAGAACATCAACAACATCAATGACGAGCCGCAGGGACAGACAGGGTAGCCAGCGCAGCATCAACGAGTTCCAGGACATCTGCAGGGGACCCAGCTCAATCTTTCGAAGCCACGCATTTACGAGCACAGCTCTCACCAATGGCCTCGATCTTCTTCTTGTAGATACTCTGAAAGCATTGCTTCCTGGCGCTCGCATAGCGCTTGCCCTTGCATGCTGTGGGGACAGTGATGCATTGACTCAGAACAACCTCCCGCACCTACCAGACACGCAGATCCCAATTGTATCAACTCTCATTTACACATAAACACAAAAATGTACAGGGACTCCTCTACTTACGAACGAGTTAGGTTCCAGAGGTCTGTTCGTGAAATCGATTTATTCCTAAGTCCAAATTTACTCCTGACGATTCCCAACATGGTGTACGGCATGTACACTGAACACGGGGAATGGCTTTGAAAGTTGTATAATCTCCTGTAGATGTAGATGCCACTGATTTTTTATGTTCTGCAGATGTAGATGCCACCACCGCCATCTATTGCGCTGCGGTTGAACTTACGACTCTCGGTCCGAACAGGAAACTGGACATATGGGTAGGTTTGTTCATATCTCTGAAAGTTTGTAAGTTGAATGTTCGTAAGTAGAGGAGTCCCTGTATATCTAAATCGGCTCAAACCTCCCGTAAATCACGTGACTCCTCCTCCGACCCCCCTGTGAAAACAGACGCTGCCCCATGCAACATCGAGGCCCTTAAGTAGCCACTTCCTCCCTGTCCTCATCTTTTCTGACATATGGTCCCATTTTTCATTATTTTCCTCTTATTTCCAAATATTTCTCTGCCCTTTCCTGTTCCAGTTTATTTTTTAAAGACATTATGTCCGTGACTCTACTCCACTTCCAGTGGTGTGGCACAGGTAAAAAAACGTTTCTAGTCTTTACCTATATTGTGAAATCATTACGATTGACTAAACTAATACTGCACATTCAAGAGACACCGTAATATGGCTATGTGAGTAATAACCAATCCCATGAGAACTCAGAAGGTAAGCAAAGTTGAACCTGGGTGGTTGCTTGGATGGGAGAGCAAGACGCATACAACAGGTGTTATAGACCATTGTGGGTCCATGTGCTGAGCGGCAGAAGACTGCAACAAAATTAATTGTTGAATTGTATGTCTGTGTGCCTACGCACGTTGCTCTCCCGTGCTACCACGCACTGACCAGTGTGGTGAAGTATGGTAAATTAACCCTCACGACCCGTACAGCCGTGGCAATACCCTCATCCAGCAGTAGACTGCTGGGTCAGGATACATGTTCCTCAGAGTAATGATGACCGTCAGATTGCCAACGCGAGTGATGGTTGTTGTCATGGTTGTAGGCCTCCGTTGATGACAATGATGAACACGGTGGGTATGAAAGTTAAAATCATGGGCAAGTTTATAGAATCTCCCCTCACCGCTACCTCTGTCCACCCAACAATATAAATGGGCACAGCACAGTAAATCGCCAGGTCTAGTGTGGTGGGGTGAAGTGTGGGCACTCCTGCCTCTCACGTACACGTCCAAGACATCTGGCCAGTGTCGACGAAGAGGTCAAATTGCACTGCAGTAGAGGAGCTCCCTCTAGCAGAGACCCTTCTGCCAGCAGTGGCACGAGCGAACAATTGTGGTGCCGCACCTTTACATTTATGATCGTGTCAATGATAGTTTGCCCGCAAGTATGCCCGGTGATGATGACCGGCGTTAGTGGCGGCGACAAGTGAAGGTATTGATGGCAACATAGGAGGGATCGCAGCGAGTTGTTACCTGTGAGCTCGTCATAGCTTTGACGTGAGTTAATTAGGCAGTGCAAGTCCACTTGATCAAACGCGTCCCCCTCGCAGACTGCCATTGCCACGCAGAAGTGTGAAGGAACACAGTTATCGTAAGTACATAAACAATTACACATTTACCGGATTTGAAGTGCATACAGGAATTCCAAATGAATGATGGCCCAGTTGTGAGGCAGTGCAAAGTGATTATCAATCACAGGATAACATAAGGATGACACATCAAGTGGCTTACTTGGTCTACACCTGCCATTCAGGCTTTTTGTATACAATGTTATTTATTTATATTTTTAGCCAATGTAAATGCCGATTGTGCTATTGGCGTAGCGTGTCACGAGAGGAAGAACTCCATTCAAATATATCGTGGCCTTTCATCGTATAGAACGGCCCATGGAAGTGAATATCATAGAGCCACCTCTGAAATCGCCTTCAATTTTGTGATATAACCCGAAGACCCACATTGCGTGTGGAGGCCCTCATCAAGCAGTGGAATGCCTCTTCCTCCCACCTTTCCACCACGATTTAATTAATCTTTACAATTCAATTCGACAGTTTGATTGGAAAAGCGAATATCATTAAAATGATGGTGGAAGTAGCGACCTCTAGTGGCTGGAGGGGTCACGTTAACCAATTTAATTTAACGTACATTAATAAAAAATAATTTCTTGCAAACGCGATTCCATGTGTGCTTAAAACATTGATATCAATTGATGAAGTGATGCATCATTATACCCCTACCTTTAAAACACATACGTTACAACTTGTGTTTGCAATTTGCAGGAGGCTGTGCTGCTAGAACGTCGCGACACAGTGCAGTGTGGGATTGAATGGAAGTTGACCCTATCCCTGCGCCGGGGAATTTTACAGCAGAATTCGCTGTTTTCTGTACGATAAGACGATGAGATGGGATTTGAAAAGACACTGAAAATGTCACATTTGAAAATACATTTAAATTCCTCTGCTGGTGTGCATCAGTGTTATCTACTTTAAATGGACACTTCAAAAGCCTGGCTTATGAGTGATACTGATCTTGGAGGTACAGTCATTCAGGCCCGTAAAATATTGTGCGTATTACAAATTGCATAATTATCATTATTAAGGGTAGGCCAAACAGTAAAAGAATATCATGAGGCCTCCTTTGCCAGTACGAAAATGTAAGAATGGATTTTACCCTTTTTTCTGGCAACAAAACTGAAACCTTTTTACGAGGAATCATGTCTGCATTAACCACAATACTTGCGGTCAAAATGCAAACAAATGCAGGTAAAAGAGAACTGGTTTGTTTTTGAAGTTGTGTCTTCTTCCTTCAAGTTTCCTTCATTCCCACTCAAATATGAGATGCATGCGGTGCCAGGGCATGCGGCTCGCGCTCACTTTCCTCCGGCGTCAGGTACTGGTTGAGTGGCTCCTCGCATTTTGTCTTCACGCTGATGCACTCTGTGAACTGGCAGACTGGTCACACGGAGAGGGCAGAAACGCACCATCATAACGATAACGTAAACCCCCACGCACAAAAACATCAGAAGGCCCGGCGTAAACGCAAGTATCGTAAACTTATCGGCTCTGTGTCAAGCTTTTGACAACGATGAGGACATTTAAACTGTGGTGGCACAGGGGGTGGTGGTGCAGAGCTTTGTGCCACAAGATGTGGTGGCGCAAGGCATCGTGGTGCAGGGTATGGTGGTGCATGGTGCAATTATCACATGGTGTGGTGGCACAGGTTGTGGGAGGAGAGTGTGGTGCTACAGGGAGTGGAGGTGCAGGGGGTGGTTAGTGCCTGGTGTGGCGGAACATTGTGTGGTGGCGCACGGTATGGTGTTGTTAAAAAAACTGCATTGGGTGCCTAAAGAAAATCCCCAGCACGTGGAGTGAAAGTTTAGACAACAAATGATCTCACCAGTAATGTACGTTTGCAATTCACACCGTGCTTATAGCTCAAGGCTATCACAAAAGGTTTGATGCTTCACAAAGCCTGCAGTGGTTTCTTAGTAGGGGATGATGTTGCTACATTTCACAGATTTTTGCAATTTGCAAGTACAGTCGACCCTTCTACATCGTGGGGGTTAGGGGCGCAGGCCCCCTGCGATCTGTAAAAAACGCGTAAATTGTTTTGGTCCCGTTGGCGAGCGACGCGAGCATCTCCAGCCGGGGGGTTCGGGGGGGGGCTTTGGGCCTTTGCATGTCGTCTGCTGGCTTTCGCGTTCTTTTCGCAAACTTTAACTTTTTACAAAATGTAACTTTAAAACAATTGTGTATGTTTATTGTATTAAAAGATAAAATACATTAATATTATATAGTACTGTACATATAATATATGCATTTATGAGTTACTAAACTTTTTGCGTGTCATCTGCGGCAATCACAAAACTCCCAAAAACCCCCCAAAATTTCCATTTAATTTATTATGCCGACCCCGCGATATATCGAAATCGTGATGGGGAAAGTCGCGATGCAGAAGGGTCGACTGTACAGCCTGTTCTCCTTTAACGTGTTTTCATAACGTGAATTGGATATAATGCGATGAATGTATGAGGGAACACTTTTTATAACGCGGATGCGAATTGGATATAACGCAATTGAATCAACAGAACTTACACTACTATGTCGCTAGTAGGAATATGCGGTTGTTCGGCTGCCTCGGTGGAGCATCACACAAGCCGGGATGCTTCTAAATGCTACCCACTCGCCTCAGTATTTGTTCAGCCTGCATATGCAACTCACGTGTTATCGCAGACTGTGCTTTCATTGCATTATATATTATTCATTATAACGCCATTTTTTTCAGAACGTGGTGTTCTTCAGGAACACAACAACAACGTTATAATCTTGCCAAATTTGGGTTGTGATGGCAGCACATATTGCCCAGCTACTACCCTGTCTGGAATGGCGTCATGGGATATTTGACATCCACTGTGAAGCCGACGGCATGCATGTTTAATATTAGCAGCAGTATTCACCAGGGTAGCCGTGCGACTCGATCTGAAAACCCTCCGCAACAAGCGGTGATTAGGCTTAACACCTGGTACAACTCGAAAACGCATCAGAGAGTTGAAAGGAATGCCTTTGTTTAAAATGTGTGAATGCATGCACATGTGCATAGTCTCAATCTGTATGTGTGTATGCGGATCGGCATGTGTACGTTTCAAAGTTACCAGTCGCATTTTCTTTGTCGCCACATTGCGTTGTCACCTCGAGGCAGCCAGTGTACTTGCAATCTGGTGAGAATAAAAAATAAAATACCAGTAAAGGTCAAAAGATAAAGATGCAGATCTGAAATGCCTTGCTTATTTCACTTTTGGCAGACGGTCCACCGACTATAGGATATCGTGCTTACTCTTCCATGCTAGACAGACGTGTTGGAATAGGTGGGAGCACCCACACTTTACCCCTCAACACGAAATCTGCATATTGACAATCTGCCGACCAACCGTGTTGATCGACAGAGGAGGAGGGATTGAAGAAACTCGCATTTCATTAATCTGTCATGCCGGATGATCGAACCAAACTAAACTATTAAGCCATGGCAGCGTCGTATTTATATCAGTAAGAAACACATTACAGCAGCAGAAGCAAATCAGCGAGAAAATGTGTGTTGAACAGGATTGGATCGCCATTTTGTCATTATCAACATTAGTCATATTTAATGATTTTGTAAATAAACATCAATAACCCAGACATACCACAAATAAAAGGCAAATCGTTATAATTCCTAAAATAAAACTTTTAACAATCTTAAGAAATAGCCACAAACAGATATATTTGTTTGATCAAAGATCATTTGAGGACGCATAGGTCATTGTGGAGCAAAGAAAATAATACAACAGTTGTGTATCAGATATTGTCAATACACTGCTGGATGAAGGCCTCTCTACATCACGGCCCCTGATGCCAGAATTCGCTTTTCTCCAGCACACGACCTGATCCCATCACCTCATCTCCACAGTGGTAATCCTCTGCTCTTGTTAACCTCTTTGTTGAATAATTTCGATTCTGATCCACCTTCAGTAATTGCCTTAGGCATGAACGTAGAATTTCTTTCCGACCTTCCTTTAACCTCCAACAACTTTTCAAACTTGTTGTGTATCACTTTTGCTCTGCACATATTTTATCTTGAGCCCAATTTTGCAGCCGTTTTTTGAGTGTGAAGTGATTAAATAATTACATTATAAGGCAGCTGTAATTCATTACAAATAAAGACTAAAATTGAAAGATTTTGAAATTACAATAGTTTCATATTAAAATTATAAATATATAAATGCATGCAGTGAACCGCTTTAAAAAATCCACACGGGAATTATGAATCATGATTTTTTTTTACTTCTATTGGTTGCACAGTACTGCCTAGCGGTTAGAATCCACGTGGCTTCTCCAATTGATTACCATATTTGCACAAGACTACAGTGGCACAATCCTGTACACCCAGCACTTTGAGGTGAGTGTTAGTGGATCACACACAATTCGTGAAAAGTCCCTATAAGTGGGTATTGAGTTGACCATCTCCTGGCTTCCTAGGGTATGGCAGTAAAGCAAGTGGATTAATCTCCATTTGTTCCACCTGTATGGGGATTGAGTGTTACCCTTCCCTCGCACACGTGGGTTTTCTCCGGATACTGTGGTTTCTTCCCACATCCCAATAGTGTATAGGGCCACAGAGCTTGGGGAATTCTTGTAAACGGTTTTGGCTTTCTTCCTGTTTGTCAGTGGCTTTCGACATCGATTAATTGTTTCTTTCTCTGAGGCTCGAGTGAAAACTGTGGATTACAAATTCAAATGTCTTTTTAACTGTTTTATATTTTAATTGGCGAATGGCAATTGTTATTAAAATTTACACAAAAATGCCTCACTTAGTTTCAAGACTCCTTTGTCAGGTGTGCCCAGAGAAAACCCACACTTATGAGGCGGGTTACCCTGAAAAATCCGCAGAGAATGATGTATTGAATAGATTAAATCCAGTAAAGGGATGGAATCTATTTTTCTGACATCTACCTGCTGTTAGAGCCCAAGCCTACAACACCTGGTATGCATTTGTGGTCACCCATTCGAGCTCTAACCAGGATTATAAACCCTCCTTGTCTACTAGGCCATCAAATGCATATAGTAGAAATAAAAAATTCGCTAAGATGATTATTATTGTTAATTATAGTTAGCCTGTAACTGCATCTGCCTCAAGATGTGTTTGCTGCCTGCTGCACTTACGTGATAATTTGCTTCAATTAACCCGTAGATCAACAGCAAAGTTAACGGATGAAAGACTATTCCTCGGTATGTTGAATTGGGTGTTCCCTCCTGCCCCGACTTCTCTTTAGGCCTCACTTCATCCTATTTAGGCCACCACCAATTTATTTTTAGACACCAATACCCTGCCATTCGCCACGAAGTGATGGTGAAGTCACCATAGCACCTGTGCCAGTCCAGGTGCACTTTGAGTCCACGTGAAGTGTTGAAGGCTCGCTGACAGGTCACGAGACAAACCCAGGTGCTATGGATTGGCTGAGATGACTGGCAGATGCACCAACTGTACCTTCCAGTGTTCTAACCTGTTGTATTTTATCCGCCAGACGCTCCGCACATTGTTGAGCGTCGCTCCTCTGCCCCACACCCTTCTTAAGACTCCTTATTATTCAATCTCCACCCATTTCCATTTAGACCCCGCCCCCTCTAACTTGAGGCCCTCCCCACAGCTTCCTTTTAGGCCCCACACCCTCCTCTGTCGGCCCCCCCTCTTCATCTTTAGTCTCTTTTTTTTACTGGACGCGGGTTTGGGTTTGTGTGTTTAAAGGCAGTACCGTGTCTTTTTTATCCATGAAACTTGGCAACTCTAAGCTAAAGCTGGGTAGATATCAGTGGAGGGTTGTGCATGGGAGAGTGGATTTTAGTGAGAGACAGCATGAGTGGGACGTGGTGGTAGTAGTGAGCGGGTAGTGGTAACAGTAGTGAACAGTTAGTGGTAGCAATAGTGAGTGGATAGTGAGCGGGCAGTGGTGGTATTAGTGAGCGTGTAGTGGTGGGGGTTGTGCAAGGGTGCTAGCGTGCGTAGGCATCAACAGTCCTGGTTGGCGGGGACAGTAAGGGGTGGTGTGGCTTTATGACCAAAATCCCTTTTCGAGCAAAAGAATAACAAGGTCATTCGCTGTCGCATACCTTCATGCCATATGGTGGTGGCGCACGCCTGTACTTCAGCACTGTGTGGAGGCGGTGATGGTTAGTGGATCACACATATCAGAAAATGCCTTTCCTATGGGCGTCGAGGTTGTCATTCTGTGGCTTGCCAGGATAACGCGGTAGAGCAACTGTGGGCTGGACTCCATCTATTCCATTATTAATGAGCCAATAGCACCTTAATATATAGAGGACCGCAGAACTTGGGGTTGGGGGGGATTTTTGCTCTGGCCCACCATCTGGCTGCCTTTCATTGGTCGTCTGTGGATCCTCTACGTGCCTCCGAGTTGATCTGCCTCTTCGAGAGTGAATATTTTGCAGCGCGTTACAAGTTGTAATTATTATTAGTATACAGTACCTCTGGAGTCGATAAATTGGGTCCCACATTGTGGGGAAGTAATAGTGGTTGTCCTATGGAGACACTTGCCCCACCATAATAATGTGGAATTATCACTACTGGTTCAGGGCTGTAAAAAGGTTATTACTGCCACTGCTCATTTGAGCAAGACATCATCCACAAAAAAAATGTCATGCCAAAATGGTAAGAATGGTAATAAAGAGCCAAGCGGTGCCATACCACAAAGTTTGTGTGGACTACAAAGGAATTGCAGGCATGTGACTACCGGATAATGTATTTTGCAATAAATTTGCAGATTAAGACATGGATTTTACTTAGACCCAAATTGGGCAAATTTGTCATATGGGTGAACGTTAAAGAATGCTATGCATTGTTTTGCCTTGGTGTCTAAATAAAAAAAATGCAAACAAAATCTTATCTACGAAACAATTCAGGTCAACACAGCTAGCCTGTGCAGATTGCCAAATATAATAAAAAAACCTTTGTATTTCCTATTCTTGGTTCTTTCGGTATTTCCCTTAGTATTTCCCTGCAGCTCAAATGCCGTAGCTCTGTGTTAGCCCTGCTTACTTCTAAGGATCGCAGTTTGTAACTCCGAAAAGCTTTTTTTTCCCGCCACGGTGTCCCACGGATTACGGGTGCAGTAATCCACGAATTTCAGGGCTTCAGGGATTGCCGAATTGTGGATTTTAGGATTGTTCTGTAATACTTAGAGCAATCCTTTTGGGTTAGCACGTCTGTCGGTCCCAAGACAGAAGAGAAGGGTAGCATGAGAGAGCTGGGAGATAGAGCGGGGCTATAAAGAAAAGCAAATGCAATGATATGCAGAATGGATTGGTGCGTCCAGAACCTGGTGCCTATTGTGTAACTTGAGCTCATACCATGGATTTCCTCCAGGGAAAACTTGCATTTTTCCTGCACCTGTACATCCGTGAACTCTAAACACACGTGCAAACAAACACACGAAACACACGGACACACAAGGAAACGACATGGTGAGGCTGTTGGGTAAAACATACAGTTGGCATCTATATGTAATTTTGACTCACGGGATATTATTATCCATCTTCATGTTAAATGTTTACCATGGAAAATGTTTGCCATAAAGATGGAAACGGACATTGCATCGAGGTATTGGTCAGCATCTCAAGCACAATTTTTTTGAATGCTTCTGCTATGTGCTGTTGATGATCACTCGATAAATATGGTTTAAAATCTTAAGCATGTAATACGTCACCAACCTTTAAAGCACACAGCTCAAAATTATTCCCAATTGTAATGCAACAAAAAAGAATTATACCTTCACGGACTCCGAATAGAAATAGTGCAAAAATGTTATACTGCGCTAATTTGCATCCCTTTGTGAAACCAACACTGAATATAATGCAGTTTGTTTGACCTATTGAACTTCAAGGCATGCATATTTGTTTAAACCAGACATAAATGTATCCATAGTTTTCTTAATTAGCAATGCTGAGATACCAGCATGAGGATATTTGAAAAAGTCATTGAAAACTAATTCATATACAACTGCTTTTCGTGTATAGTTTATTTTCCTTCCCCTACACCTCCGATTAGCACGGTAGGCTACATACGGTGCGAAATAAGTTCAACATATATACATACAGGGAGATGAAGTGAGCGCGACTAGATTGTATCATGGTGGCTTGCACCCAAAACCATATTTTCACTACGCATACATTCTTGCATGCAAATTATGTACACATGTGTATCCACATAGAGACTGCCACAATATGTCGATGTGTTTGTTATTCGTAGTGGGGAAGTGAAGTTGTAGACTGCAATGGATATGGCACGGGGTTAAAGCTGAAAGATTCCCATTGCAAGATAATTTTAGCTTTACCACTGACGCAGTCAATAGTCTTCGAGACCCCTTGTCTTATCTGATGCGCAATGTCTCATCTGGTCTTACCCGATACATAACTGTCTCAATCAGGTAGAGAACCATAGTCTTATAAAATATAGAAGTAATGTCTCATCTGGGACTGAATCCTCGTTGATCTGATAAAAAAACTATTGCCCTATCCAATATAGTAATGTGTCATCTAGAACTCTATACTTGCATTGTTGAATAGAGAACCAGTCTTATTCAATATATAATTTATATAATAATTAACATATTATTTATATGTTGCCATTAAATGATTATATATATTCTGCATTGTGAAATACCTCGTTTGTTCGTGGTGCTATATTCCTTAAGGACCCTGTACTCGTTCTCTGCAATATTGATGTTTTTTGTCTATAGTTTGTGATTTTGCTGTGCTCACCCACCATGGATCTCCATGGTAAAATAGCCAGGAAACTGGCAAAACGGGATCATCTCTGCAATTCAAGCTCAAACTTAATATCCCATCTGGTACAGAACCTTCATCTCATCCAGTCTACAAGATGCCAGTGACTTGTCAGAATGCATACTACGGCATCATCAATTCATAGCAGCGAAATGAAGGCAACCGGGGACAGCAGCGGCAGCGAGATGGCGCCAAAGGTGCCGTCAAAGCTAAGTCTTAAACGAGTTAGCATTAGCGAATGTGTTAAGTTTTCCAGCTATTAACGAGGTAACTGAGATGATAAAAGTGCATGTGGAAGGAAACATGTGTGTCTGAAATCCTTCTTTGTGCAGGAATGCAATCAAAATCATCCATACTTCGCTTTTCCTTTTCCACTTTTGAGTAACACGGCAGGATCAGCTGGCACAGCACCAACAGAAGCGGCAAATAGGCCTTCATGATGACGTGGCCACGATCTGTACACGATCAACACTGCACACACAGCAATACATTATTTGCTTTATGTTGTCATGAGATGACGTATCTATTGGTATTTTTGTCCCAATGCAACCTTTCATGTTAGAGAATGATCCACGGAAGCAGATAACACTGAGATACCTCTGATATCCCTTCAAATTAGGTCTGATCCACACACTAACTCGGGGTCGGAGGGAACTTCCCACTCGCCCTCCTGGAGAAAATGTTTGTCAACATTCTCAGACCTATAAATTTTGCCAAATTAAGTGCAGAACTAAATATTTAATGACATTTTTCTGTGCGGTCATTTGTGCCCTATCAACTCACGACACTCAGTTTTAACCCAGGATATCGGTTTTTGTCAGCTCGGCGCTCTGACCATTCGTCAGGTTCAGTGCTCATGCTCGATGTCATAGGGCCAGACTAAAGCACATTCATGTCGATTAGGATTCAATTTGAATGCCCATTTGCTCGAAGCGGCACACTAAGGGCAGCTTTAGGAATTGCAGAGTGGTAGGTCACCCATTCTGCTTTTCCTCCTTGTAGTCTGTACTCAGAAGTCCCTGCTGGATATAATATTGAATTTTTTAAATATTATAAATCTTGTTTATCCAGAAAAAACCTCACTGAGTCTCACGTCTCTTGTTTAAGAGTCCTGCCAAGTTTTCAAGTGAGGGGTGATGCTGCTGTGCATAATCCAAATTGAGAAAATTTCCATGTACAGTACTTAGTTTCGCATTGAGATGTTTGGTTAACACCAGTAACATTCTGTGCTTTCTTACCTCTAGATGAAAAGCGGAGAACCCGAAAGAAACCCATGCAGAAGGGGAGAACGTACACAATGCACGCAGAGTCGGTAATCGAACCCAGAGACGTCTTGCTGTAAAGGCACAAGTGTTACCACTTCGCCACCCTGCCGCTCAAATCTCTTCCCCCGTTTAAGAACAGACTAGGAGCCTTTTTGTCTTTGCCCATGACTGCACCCGTCAATTACAAAACCCTCTTTCTGTAGAATTGTACGCAGAACACGTTGTGGTGAAACGTTATTAGTTTAGATTGTATTTATTTAAGCAGGAAGGGCACAATGAGCGACAGTTGCAATCAGAATCTTTATTTGGACTGGAGGAATCCGATGAGCTATGGATATCCTTTTCACAGATGTCTAGTATGGGCGGGTCAGCAAGTTACAAGAGCAAACAATAGGAAAAACTATAGGAGTGTAAAATAGAGAAAATGGTAAGCAAGTCACTAAATATAAATATATAATACTTGCTTTCATTATATAGGTCCGATTTAACACGCTTGGGCAAGGCAGCAAAGCAACAACAAAAACAGTCCAGGACCACACCAAGATAAAATGTCAATTTAACATTGAACTATCGATACACAGGTAAGGATCAAAGTTACAAATCACATTTTGCAAATGTGACTGTATCCAGCACAAGATGCAACACATACCTTGCACCGTCGGTGTGAGTTGAGCGTTAGCATAAGACGGAGTCGAGCTGACAACTGACTTGGTAACGAGTGGGTGGTGACTCTTAGTGCTTTCACATTGGTATCATTTCCTCTTCGAGAAGTGACTGTTGTGGATGCCCTATAGCGATGCAATACTGCGTGCCTCCTCAATGGGGCGGGAGGGGGTCAAATCGCAAACACACAATAATGAACAACAATATTTTAACCAATTGTCATTTTTGTGACGTATCCCAACCAGCTAGTAACTGCAAGAGAATACAAAAAAAATCAACGGACGCTCAGCATGCGTGACGTAATTTGTTTGCGCTGCGTTGCTTACTCTTGGAAACCACATTGTTTACGATCAACAAGTTTTATAAAGGTCTTTGGTATCGCTGTAGGTTACCATATGGGTTAAAATGTTATCGTAGTTATTCTATATTGCCAGATTCATACATAATTATTCACTAGTGATTCGCATGTATGAAATTATTTCACACATTTAATAATCCCCTCGTGTCCCCCCTGGGGCATTGCCCCCCCCCCCCCCCAAGTCCGCGTACCCCCGGTTGAGAACCACAGCACGATAGTACAGACCATCACCAATTCAATGCCCACGTTATGTCTCTAGTTACGCTGCTTCGTTATCATGCTCTTTGTCCTGGATGAATATTTAAAAATGGCGCAAGCAAAATAGTAGAGTTACTCATCGGCTTCCCGTAAATGGGACTAACACATCACTCACCCGCAAGATTCCGTCATTGACTTTTGTTTTTCACACTTTATCCGAGATGCTTGAGAACTAAGTTGCATCTGTGGTGATTGTTACATTGGGGAAACGAAACGTCATGTCTCCGACCGTGTACGCGAGCACAAGTCAGATTTGAAACATGGCAGGACTAATTCTTCCGCAGTTGCTGACCATTATTATAACGCTGTGGGCTCCCATGATATTGTTTTTTCCGAGACCAAAGTGCTTTGGAAACCGTCTGGCTACTATCAAAGGTTTGTTCATGAAGCCATCCAGATATATAAACATAGACATAACTTCAATCGAGAAGATGGATACAAATTGAGCAATCATTGGAAGGAAGTTATTAACCATGTAAAAACTTAGCTGCTCTATAGTTGGCCTTCATACCCACAATTCCAGTTTCTTATGCCCATCCCGGCTCATTCCAGTCTCTTGTAAATTTACCGTGCTTCAGCATCCCACTCTCCTCTGACCCATGCCCCCCACCCCCACTCTCTCTATCCCTGGCACCCCCTCCCTCATCTATATAATCCTTTGTTACTAGCAGCTCTTTTGCCTACTTCAGCAAGTGTGTCTTGCTGTGGTTGTTCACACCTGATGACGGGCGCTTGTGTTGCGCCCGAAACGTCGTGACTTAATTTATTTATTTTTATTTTTTCACCTACGTGACTTTACCGAAAGAACCAAAGAGTATGCTTGAGAGCACATGTGGTCAAAATGTGCCCGCAATTGTGGGTTTTGACATTCTGCTTTGCCGACAAACAATGGCATACAGTATTTGCCTACGTTACAACTTTATTAGATTTGATCTGTAGAGTGGTGGAGGGTTAAAGTCAAACAATGTAACTTCATAACGACACGAACTAAACCAAAATAAACTAATTATGAATCGTGATATTGGTCGTTAAAGTCTACATGTAAAATGTGGTATTTGGTTCAATGTGATGTTCGTAGATGTCTTCCTGTTTTATTCTCAAAACCTAATTTGATTACATCTAACGCCTAATTTCTCCCTGGTTGTGGTCAAATTAGCAGATTCCGGAACAAAATGTGCAATAAAAACCCCTCAGATTGGATCTATTCTATCTGATTTGATCTTCTTTGACCACGAATACCTGCCCATTAGATTTGACTTCGTCTGCCGTGACCATGCAGACCTGTCCATTCATTGAATCTGAATTGACCTGCTGTGACAATGCAGACCTCTCCATGGGATCTGTTTTCAACGGCTGTGATATGTAAACCTACTCAGGGGGTTGCCCCCTTGCAACGCTGTTGAAAATAAGGAAACACTTCCAACCGCAAATGCACCGTAGTCACCCCACACATTCACATTAAATCTTCATGAGAATTAGGGACGCCACGATATGACGATACAGAGATACGCACTACAATGACGATAGTTTAAAGCGATTTGAAGCATGTTTTCTTTTTAAAATGGAAATATGGTTTTGGGAGGGGGGGGGCGCAGAGCTTTGTGACGTCATATTTGAGGGGGGTCTGACTTTTTGTGACGCCGTAAGACGAGGTGGGGGGGGGGGTCAAAAATCGTCCAAAATCGCGTGACGTCATTTATGGACGGCCCCTAAGCACGCGTTTGCACCCCCACTGCACACATCGCCACAATACCTACCATGGGAATTAAAATAGGGCGAGATTGCTGTGACATGTCAGAAACATAATTCCCGGAACAGAGGTGCGGACTATTCCGACTGGAATTAAGCACTGGTGCTTAGATTGAGAGAGTCTATTATGACAAAGACCAGCCTGCCTCAAGACCAACACCCTCCTCTCATACCCGGGTAGTTTGGCTTCATGTGCTTGAAAATTGTCTTGGCCAAACACTCCCCAATACCTGACTCACTGGAAGAGCAGTCTCGAGACTGATGGAGGCACGTGGCACAGCTATACGCATCGGCACCCCAGGCAAACGCTAAGAGCCTCAAGCAGCTCACGAGGCCGAGGACTCAAAGAAAAAATAGGGGACAGCAAATGTGAGCTCAAATTCAAATCGATTTACTCTCTTTAATTTCTAGCTTTTGTCTGTATCTAACTTATCTCACCGCGTTTATATGTCTACATTTCTGTTACCTTATTTATCAACGATATCTACTATACATTTTCTGTCTTCTCGCTAGTAGATTATATATTTAAACGAGGGTCTGCACAATTAATTCCTGTTTCGGGCCCCCGATTTGCTAGGACCAGCACCACCATCCACGTGATCCACCAACCCTTGCCTCCAAAGCACGCAATCACAGACATGTGCGACCAACGAAAAATGACAGCGTCTCTAAGTAACCAGTTTTTATACAGTACATTTACCCCAATAAGTGAATTAATCATTGCATTGCAGGATCGCCATGTTCGCCCGCGGCTTGAGTAGGCCTTCATCCAGCAGTGGATTGACCATGACTGCTGCTGATGAAACCATAATATCCATGGCGTGGAATTATACGTCTTTGTGTTGTTTTAAACTTAACTTGAAAGGAAAGCAAGACAAATTGCGATAGGCGTCACCCTATCTCGATGATCTGATACATTTCGCCTGTAAAAATCCCCCAATTCGTGCCTTTTATCTAGACGTGTGGAGTAAGTTCTCTGAATTCTCACTTTCAATGGGCTATAAACACACTAAATATGTTAATATACCCTCCGTAGAGAATGTGACATTCTTCTGTGAAAAAAGGGACTGCAAAACCCCCTTTCTATATATTGTGTGTATATAATACATCCACCCACAAACTGGTCTGGGTACGTGCCGAGTGTGATACGAATAGTCTGGGACTTTTTATTGTAAATTTTTGGTACGGGCGCGACAAACGAGTATGGTCAGATTCACGACGCGATCTTCACCATTACTGGTAACGGCAGACATCAGATACTTTCCCCTAAAATTGGGACAAGGCTAGAGACGGGATCACACGTGTGTGTGTGTCTGCAGCGTGGGGGACGGTGGCATAGTGGTTAGCACACTGTGTTACAAAACCACGGGTAACCAGAGTTCGACTCCCGGCGTCGAGTAATGTCAGAATCAGTTATGGGCCTTCCCTAGATCGACTCAGCCTTACATTAGTTCGTGGAGTAGGTTTGTTTCTATTAGCCCGGAACTATTTCCTTATACAGAGGCAACATTTCCAAAAAGGCATGTTGTGGGTCAAGTTAGCGAGGACCTATTAATGGCAGCACAGCACACGAAGGGGTGGGTGGCCAGCACCATGCACGGCCGCATTTGTCTCCCTTGCGCCAATGTTTACACACTGCACCAGCTACTTATTTAGGCTATTCTATTGTTGCCTGTGGCAACATGTTCAGGAGCTAAATACTGTAACAATGTGTAAGTCTGCTGGCCACATGTGCATGCAAACCCAAAAATCCCCCATATAGCCTTAACCTTTTTTTTGGGGTATGTGCTGTTAGCTAGTCCCTATGAAGGCCGGCACGACACTCGAAGGGGAGGGTGGCTAGCACCACACCACACCAGGTAATAATTTGAGATTGCATACACACAAAAATCGCCGTATTCCACGAAGTGCCGGTGACATCACCACGGCGCTTGTGCCAGGCTCGGTGCACCTTGAGGCCACGTGAAGCGTGGAAGACATTGCTGTCAGGTGACGGAACAGACCCAGTTATGTGCCATGAGTTGAATGACCTAGATGACTTGACAGACGCAGCAAGATGTACAAATACACATTCACATCCTCCGGAACAGCGAGGGGGTGGGTGGCCAGCAACATGCCCGGCCGCCTTTGTAATGGCGATATTTACACACCACACCATATACTCAGGCTAAGTTGACCTTGGGGAGACCCAGGATCAGTTCAGATAATCGTCACTGGTATTGGTCGGAAGCGGGAATCGAACTAGGGTCGAGAGTCGCCGGGTTTGTAGTGCATCGCTCACCGCAACATTACCGCTCCCCACCTTAAATACAAAGTCTTCAAACAAAACAATAATCCCCCCTAGAGCCCTTAACAGACTGTTGGGGCAAGTGCTGTTAGCGAGCACTTGTGAAGGCTGCACGGTACACGAGGAAGTGGGTGGACAGCACTATGCCCGACCACATTTGTCTCCCTAGTGGCAGTGTGTTACACACTGCACCAGGTATTAATTTGAGGCTGAGTCGACCTAGGGGAGGCCCAGTACTGGTCCAGATAAAAGTAATCGGTTTTTTGCCAGTCACGCGCATACTCAGCCAAACACCCACAATAATAAACGCACATACAGGCACGCACACGTACGCACGCATCGGTAATGACAGACACAAACACAGTGCAACCGTCAGAAGGGGGCTTTCCAGGTGTACTTCATTGAACCCTATGGGCAGGTAACAATGTGTAACCTGAGCCG